TCAGATATGCCCTTCTTCCAAACATACACGCCATCAGATATGCCCTTCTTCCAAACATACACGCCATCAGATATGCCCTTCTTCCAAACATACACATCAACAGCTATCCCCGTCTTCCAAACATACACACCATCAGATATGCCCTTCTTTCAAACATATAAACAACCCTCGTCAGACTTCAGAGTGGTCAAGAACTAAAACTTTTCTGTTTTAAGTCATTGCCCTAGCAAGTTTGAATGCTACCACACACCATCTCCTGACCCATCCCCTCTATTGCCATGCCCCACATAATCAGTCACTGTCATTGCTGAGATGTGCCCACCACCTGGTCCTTACTTACCCACTTACCATACAAGTTAGAGTTCTCAATGTCCATTCGCTGCTTTTGAGCTTCAAGAAAAACATGAATGTTGATTCCTCTGGCGGCTGAGACACAACCCAGGAATCTGTCTGGAATCTGTGTGCAGATGTCTGGCTCATCAGCACCAAACCCCAGAGCCAGGAGAACTTCCACTGGATCATTTTCCCAAAAGTCCAGCCATTCAGGAATGCTGTGATAAAAACATGAATCTCTTTATCTAGTAACACCTAACAACCCAAAGCTATTTTTTTCTAGTCACCTCACCCACCCAATTTCCCAGATATTAAGCAAAAGAGGAACCCACTAAGAAGATTATGGTTCATTTATGATAATAAAGCTCACTCATATTTATGTTCCTAAAGGACAACCCAGCACTCCTACTCAGAAACAATACTGTAAGTTTATTTAACTGACTTTCCATTTCACAATAGGCAAATGTAACAAGTTAGATAGCATGGGAAGACAATGGGACAGCACCAGACAGAGGCAGCACACTGCCAACCACAAAGAATTGGGCAATAAAAGCAAGAAAGGAAACTGAATGAGACTCAGAGAAGAATATTTTTAAAGAGTATCAGTCTGGGGTATCCTCAACTACACAAATCTATCCAAGATACCATTAAATACAGACAATAAGGATGGATGTTTACAAACAATGATTTTAAGTCTCTAGGTAGGATTAAAATATGCTGTGTTTTCTAGATTTTTTTTTGACTCAGCTAAGAAATGAAAAAATGCTTTCATCAAGATATTCTAGTTCATTTTGGCACTTATGATGATAAATGCCAATTATCTGGATTTTCTATTTTTTGTATATCAACTCCCTTCTAAATTTCTCCTGGGGTACCATACTATGGACCATTTCATGGATTCTGGGGGAATCGGAACTTTCAACAAGATTTGCTGAGTTCTTTTGTTGATGTTTCGCTTTACTTTTACTTTACATTAAATACTAATGAGCATTTTTGAGATGATTTAGAGAATTTTACTTTGGTGACTTCATCATTCTAATTGAATTAATTATAATTCATTTATTTAACCCTTCACACATTTAGTAACTGCTGCCAATAGTCTCATTGAGCAGCCCCACTGACCAGACACCATCAGGATCATGTTCAGATTTTTTCTTTTTTAAAAATAAATCTATTTTTAATTGACAAATAATAAGTATGTATACTTATGGGGTACAGTGTGTTGTTTTGATCTACATATACATTGTAGAAAGATTCAGTCATATCCACCTCCTCACCAACTTACATTTGTGATGAGAATGTAAGAAATCTATTCTTTAGCAATGTTGAAATATACAATTAGCTTACTATTAACTGCTCACCATACCCGGCAATAGATTTAGACACACTAATACTCATAATGTGAAGTGGAGATGGCTTGTTTTGAGTATCTTAATCTCTGGAATGAACTGGAGAAACAGGAATACCAATCACTTGATTACACTGACACCTTAATATGTGAGAGTCAAGGAAGAAAAAAACTCTAAATCATGTACAAAATATTTAATGTTATTATGAGCATATTGACCTCATTGTACAAATGTTTATCCTACCCATTTATACAAATTCTTATTCTTATTGAATATCTGTCATGTCCTAAGGTTCTACGTTAGATACTTATGGCACAAAGTTCCTCCTTTCCAAAGGCTTCAGTCTCATGACCAAGAATATAATTATCAGTTGATACATCTTAAATTATTTTCATATGATATGAAAATACCATTAACCTTTTAATTCATTTTGAATTTTTCAAAAAAAAATACACTGACTTTGCAAAATACACAAAATACACTGACTTTGCAAACAATTACGAGACAAAAGGCTCTCTCTCCCTTTTGTCATTACTCTCGCCAATCTCAATCCCCTTCCTGTTAAATCTATGTGTATCTTTCCCGATATTTTTCAGTGTAGTCGCATATATATACTTTATGGTTTTTACTTGTTTGCTTTATATATAGCAACATAATCTATGGATCTTTGTGCATCTTGCGTTTTCCCCTTAAAAATATGACTTGAAGAGCTTTCTAAGCTGTTATGCATATCTCTGTATAATTTTATTGCTATGTAAAATTCCATAAAATGAATGGGCCAATAATTTATTTGGCCATTTTTCCATTGACAGATATTTAGCCTGTTTCCAATTTTACTAACTCTTTAATAATGTTCCGGCAAGTTGGAGTTTGGAAATCTTTTATTCATTCTTTCATCCATTCATTCACCAAGTGCCTATTTATAATTTCATGAAATCTATTGTTGCACAGAAGGATTTCTCAGGATGTGAAGTGCCTAGAAATTACATACCTTTGTGGCATACTTGCAGTAGAATGGCAAGAGTTGAAACTGGTCCCTCTGGATAGGGTGGGAGTTTCTGAAAACTGATGCAAAGATCTACAGTGGAGAAAATACCAACAATGAGATGTGTTGATTTAGATGGTCCCTTGGGAGGTCATTGCAAAGCTCTTCCTTCCAGAGAAACATTTGCATTTCCTCTTAGTTTCTATTATAATAATCTCCAAATAGCCACACCTTTGAAGAAGAGAGAGCTTGGAGGGAGGAGCTGCGCCCCCTTTTCCTGAGCACTGTGTTACAGACGATGTGAGAATTTAAGTGTTAGGTGCCTGCTAGTGTTCATTATAAAGGTGGCAGAGTGTCTCACTTTTGACAGATGGCAAATCATTGGGGAACCTTTCAGGAACACAGCTTCACTGGGCACCAACTTTCGGCAAGTAGTTAAAATTGCATGATGAAAGAGGCACAGTGAGCAGCCACTGAAGCGACTCCACGTTAAGTCTGGTAGTAGGGAAGGATTTCATGCTGCATGGCTAACAGTCTCTAAGTGCCATCTCCAGGGCTCCTGTGGCCATCCATATGCAATGGTAACAAACTCCTTTACTGCTGGAAAAACAAGTCACTCTATCCAACAGGCCTGCATTGTAAGACATTTGAAAGCTCTTTCAAAGACAATAGAACATGTTACAGTATAGGTCAGTTTCTTCTTCATTCTCTCATCCATAGCTCAGTTCTACCTTGGGTCACATCTAGCCCCATTAAATGTAATAGCTAGTTGGCACAAAATTACAGTTCATCAGAGTATAATGCAAACATCAACATTCCCAAGGTGACCAAGTTATCCTCCTTGGGTGGCTCAATTGTCTTAGTTTTATCCCTATTCAAGTGATGGCTAAGCCCTGACTCTTCTTTGTTTAACTACTTCCTTTCATTAAGGCTGAGAATGTGTGGGTTTCTGGATTATAAAAACTCTGCTTTCAACAGACAGTTGGGTTTGCTGGGAGTCTTGAGGAGAGGCAGAAAGACTCCCTTTCACTTATTGTCTCACTTCAGTTTTTATTAGGTCTGCCAGAATTTATTTTTCATTTTGGAATTGAGGGTTGCATTTTATTTTGTAATGTTCAGCAGAGCCACCTAGAAGCAGGCCTGGCCTGGGATCCAGAAGAATCCAGTGTAGTCCCTTTTCTATCAACCATATGGGCACAAGCTGATCATTGAAACTGGCTCTTGTTTTTCTCTTTGATAAAATGAGGGTTGCTCAAGAGATTTCTGTGGTTCCTTTTAGCTCCATGATTCTAATAGTAGAATCAACAGTCCTGTGAGGGGAAAACACTGACAAATACCATATTCAGTGTGGATTGGGAGGGGTAGTAGGGTTGCAGAACTGCCTATTTTGTTTTCAACTACTTGGAATTATCCTGAAAATGCAAATGTGAAGAAAGCACGAGAAGCAGAGCTCCTGAGCCCAAGGAGCTTGTAGTCTATTCCAGTGTGTCTCAAATTCATCTGACAGAATGGTAAAGATACAGATTTCTGGATGCTCCCTTCAGATTTCCTGGTTAAGGAGATATGGGGTGGGGCTTAGGAATTCGCATTCTTGTTAAGCTCTCAGATGCTGCTATTTTGAACACCATACTTTGAGACCAGACCTCTTTTTGCACCAGGATACTCTCACTGCTTTCTGCCTAACATTGGAAATTGTATTTATTGTTGTCCAGTAAATAGAATGATGAATAATAACATTGACAAAGTGAAAATGTAACTCTTTTATGAACATGTCCTTAGGAACAACTGCACCATAGCAGAATGTCATTCATGCATAGATTCCAATTAAATTTCCATTGAAGTCAGCATTTTTTGATTTAATCTACTTACCCCTTTTTGACATTTAAGATACTTCCAGTGCTCTTAAAGCTACTGAAAGTGTTCTAGACACTGGGGACAAATTACTGACCTTTCGCAAGACCCCCAAATCCGTGGAATTATTAAGAAACTTCCTCACTTGCATTGCATTTATCAAAGATGGGGCTTTAAAATATTGCAGGTAAGTCACAATCATTGTGCTACCTACCTCATGTAGTCTTTCACAGTCATTTGAACCGTTCCTTGTTCATGCAAAGAAACTACAACATAAACAAGCAAAAGGGTGGAGGTGAACTTAATTTTCTTTTATCCTGTGGAAAATCTTCTCGTCCCCAATCCAACCAATGTAGAATTGATTCTATATCCAAAGTTGTATTGGTATGAACTACAACGTGTCTCTGTGGTGGACAAGACAGAATACAATTAATGGACAATTATGCGACAAGCGCTTGAAGAAATGTACTTGCTCAAAGAAGAGGGAAGTCAGTGGCAAGAAGTGGTATTTGTTCTGGATTTTTAATAATGGGGAGAATTTGATAGAAGGAAAAGAGGCACTGCCCTTGAGGAAGAGAAAAATGTTATCTATAGAAAGTGCAGATCATAGTGCTAGGGGAGTGTGATTAGCTCATGGGGCACTTTGGGAAGCTTTCTTCCATTACACAATGCTGAGGAAGTAGGGGAGGGTTAAGCAAAAGAATATAAGAAGGACCTAGCATTTATTGAACATTGCCCAGTCATTTGTATCATCTAATTCTTCCAATAGTGTTATAATTAGAACTTATCCTCATTGTTCCTAAATTTCTGTAAGGAGTTTAGTAATGAGCCCATGATCATACAGCCAAAAGACATATATGTAGGAATTTATTAGTCTTCTATTATTGATTATAGCAATAATAGTTACTATTTATTTAGAACAAACTTTGTTCAAGATAACATGCTCGGCATGGTACATGCACAATCTCTTCTGATTCTCACAGTAAATCCATGAGATAGGTATTATTAATCTCCACTAAATATAGAGGAAATTGAGGCTCAGAGACATTAGTTTCTCGTGGCCAGCAAGATGCTACAATTTATTTTAATTTATCACTTTTCTGTCACACCACACTATCAACCAAACAGCCTATAGCTTATTTTAAAGCTAGAAGGAAGAGTTTGTATGTAAGTGTTAGAACAGGGAGATCCATGAAAGTTTTTGAGCAAACAAGTAAATGAGAGAAAGATGATGCTGAAGGCATCTGAATGGCTGATAGTGGCACTAAGCACAGAATGGAGGAAATAAATATTAGTTATCCTTGAGGCCGATTCAGAGGCCATTGCAATAATAGGATCATGTATTAAAATAAAACACGTGGCTAAGACCTACAGAATGTTCAGAATACAGGCAACTTCCTCAGAAGTTTCACCAGTCTTCTCATTGCCTCTCACCTGTGGCTCTTCTGGGTGCCAATGTGTGACATGTATAAAACTGGAAGTGTTGCTGCCCTGTACAACCATGAGAACATAAAGTTTTTACCATAAGAAATACAATACAGGTTGGAAGGAATTTTGGAAAAATGAACCTGAGTGATTTAAATATATGAAAGAATGCTGAAAATAATAAAGGGCCAGGGTTCTTATCTCTGTACAGAGCCTATGAAGAGATCTCAAGGCATCTGCGAATTTGTCTCTAAGTGCCAAATTTTGGAAATGGAGATAGGAATATATGTACCCATGGTTTTCAGAAAAAAATTTAAAGTGACCTTACCTAAAGCCAAAAAAAAAAAAAAAAAAAAAGAAAGAAAGGAAGAAAGAAAAACAAAACAGAAAGAAATAAGACTAGCTAGAAATCTAGAGACTTGAGATGTGTTAGGGTGGTGTGAATGAATGGCATATCCTTAGCTAACTCTGAATCTAGAATACATGACTCCACTTTAAAGAGGTAGTGAGAGAATAGATACAGTAAATGTCTTTGCCCTACAAAATAATTGGAACTCTGTCAGCACAAGAGACAGATAGGATAAGAAATCTAAATCTATTTTTGAAGTTTAAATACAGAGTGGAAATATATATGGCCTCCGTGCTATGCCTGTCATTGCAGACATCATTAATCTTTTCTAATCAATTGCATCACTTTCCTGTCACTTCTTCAGGAAAGTCACCACTAACTGATTAGAATTATCACAAAAGATTAAATTACTGACCATCCTTTGTTTATAAAACACTTCATGAGTGGGTTTTTGAGAAGAACAGAATAAGCATGGGTATGTATCTAAAATTGAGAAGCTGCTAACATGAAGTGAATATATAACTACTTCATAAAACATTCCAGGGAGTCACTACCAAAAATGGAATATCAGAGGAGTTCCAGTATCATATGAAATCTTTTACAAAATTCTACTAATTTAAATAGATAAAAAGAGAGCTGTTCTGCATGGAGTGTTCTTCCCTTTAGCTATTCCTTCACCCTAGGAGGCATCTTCAGGATCCAGACCTTGAAAACTGTCAATTATTCAACACACAAGACCCTTAGTAAGCAGGCATGGCTAATTCATTGCTGCACTCTTGCTCAGGGAATACAAATCAATCTCAGAGCTTCTCAAACTTGTAACGTCACTGGCAATTGATTGAAATTGTCACAGAAGTGAAAGCCTATTTGCTACCTTATTAAACATATCATAGATGCAAGCACAGTATAATTTTTAGGTAGTCATGTAATAACTTGATACCATGATGAATTAAATAAGTTGCCCAAATGAAGATAAAATTAATATTTATAATTTTAAGTATTTTTTTTTATTTCTCCCATTTCTATGCACTATGTTGCATGCAACTCACAAAGCAAGACTTCATTTGTGCCTGGTTTATCTTATCTAGATAATTCTGGAACATTTCTGAGCAGTTATTGCCTCCTAAAACATTCTATAGTCCTAGGACATGTGGTGGCACATTCTGCTAGTACTGATGCTCTTGCACCACTTTGGTCTTTTCTGTTTGCCTGCCTGCTATTGCCCTGGATTTCCTGGATGTGTGAATAAATGTGTACATCCAGGCCAGGGATCTGCTATTGTAGCCACTGTGAATTGTTCAAACCATCTGAGCAGAAATAATCCATTTTTAGACATTGATGACAAGAGTTAGCTCAGGCTTGCTGAGTTCTCAAACACCCTGTCCTTGTAGAAAATCATCTACACCCAGGTGGGGTGGCTCATGCCTGTAATTCTAGTGCTCTGGGGGGCTGAGATGGGATGATCACTTGAGGTCAGGAGTTCTAGACCAGCCTGAGCCAGAGCAAGACCCTGTCGCTACTAAAAATAGAAAAATTGCCAGGCTTGTGGCAGGGTTCTATAGTCCCAGCTATTCAGGAGGCTGAGGCAGTAGGAGTATGAGATTGCTGTGAGTTAGGCTGAGGCCATGGCACCTTAGCCTGAGTGCTACAGTGAGGCTCTATCTAAAAAAAAAAAACAAAGAAAGAAAGAAAAGAAAAGAGAAAAGAAAATAAAGTTATCTAGAATTTGGAGTCTTCATCCAGGGGGGGCTTCTTCATGGAATTCTAGTGCCCACACAGATCTAGTAGCTACACTCCAGGGACCACACCCCTCTGTCTGCTGTTGTTCAGTAACAATCTGGATGCCAGGAAACCAAGGGTCCCCTCCAAGAGAAAAAGAAATTCCTAAAGTAACATGTTTTCCTAGGGATGTATAAGTGGACAACACACACAAAAGCCTTACACAGCTTCAGAACCAGCTGTGCAACGGGCCTCTCACTTTCCCCACACAGCCAGCACCCTGGGAGGTCAGCCATTACTGACCATTAGGGGGCTCCCCCCACCTGAAGCCCATCCTCCTTGATGTACAAATATAGCATTTACATTCTTTCCCAGATGCCTGTACTTTTTCTTCTTCATCTTGATGAAAATGACACAAATGTCGATCCACAGCCAATATATTCAGACATAATAGCCTTCTCTGCTGCTGAGCTTAGATTTTGGAGAAAACCAAGCCAAACAAAGCTGATATGATTTTTTTAAACTCACAAGATAGCCTCATTTTAAAAATTGTGACAAAATTATTAAAAATTAATTAGGTTTACTGCTTGATTTCCACCTTACATTCTAGCCCTCTTGGTCCCGGGAGACCGAGTGGCATTTTGACAGTGTTACTCTGTGTTTGCTGCCTGATCACTGCGGAAGCAGCCACTGGCCTTTCCAACAATTTGGACTCAGGCAATGAAGAGTCTTGCACAGGGCAGCTGGTGAAGTAGTACATTATTCCTTTCCTGTTGGAGGGTCGCTCTGCTTTGGTTTTCCATTTTGCTAATGTGTGAGGTCAAGTTCCCATGGCCTTAGGACGGGTTTGTCAGGGTTGGGGTGCTGCTTCCCTTTCCTGTTTCCAATAAGGAGGTGTAAGCTGGTGGCCCACAGTGTGCCAGTTCTTGCAGGGATTGCAATATCTAAACTTTCCCTAAAACTTGGATGAGCCGGCAGCACTGGCCCAGGTGTCTTCAGGGCAGTGGTCTGTGAAGGCAACGTCCTCTTTAATGCTCTGCCGTCCCTTCCGGCTGATTCCTTCATTAGCCATCACCTGCCTTGCTCCCAGAAACATGTGAGTCTCCTGCCTCTAATCAGAGCTAGAATCTCACACCCAGGCAAGGCCACGGCCAATGGACAAACTGCTCCTGTACCCAGATTCCTCCCACGTCTCTGCAGACACCAGGTGTGAGGCTGTCCCAGGGAAAGGTGGGTCCTCACATGTGTACCTGATTCCCTGCACAGAGCTCTGCTCAGAGGTCTTCCTCAATTCCACACTCACTTCTCTACGGGCTGGTCCTAATATTTCCTTCATTTTTCCCCCTCCATTATACCATTGTTAGGTTTTTAAAATTAGATTTTACTCTCTAAAAGCATTTGGGGAAGGAGAGAGATTAAAAAAAAAATTAAGTCCTACTATCCCCAAGTTTCCTAGAGTTGATATGGAGGAAAATTAAAGTGTGAGAAAAAAACTTTCCCTGTTCTATTCAATGCATCCCATTCCACGGGTTAAAATGCCAGTTCTGATTCCCTTTTAGATACTTGAGTCTCTAGCCACCCTCCCTACTGTTTGGTGGACTTCTGCCATCTGAAGCAGCAGACACCACACTTAACCCTGCAAAATGTATTACTGGGGAAGATGTAGTTAGATATGCAGAAGGCACTAATTAGCACCTTTATTGGCTTAGAAAGCATTTTTTATTTTGGTTTTCCTAAGCATTTCTGACTGATTCATGGAAGACATTTGGTTCT